ATATATATATATGCATATTATATATATGCATATTATAACTACATAAAATGCAGTTGTACTGATACCTCTCATTTGAAGCCATCCAAGCTTCTCGTTTGCCTTCCTTTGTCCCATATTTGTATCTCCCATCTTCCATGTTACTCTGGCTCCCAACAACCTCACTATATTCGTTCATTTGCTTAATTCCATAATACCCACATAATTGTTTCAGAATTTTCATACCACTACAACAAACAAGCCTATCAGGAAGAGTTCAAGATTTGTTTGCAGTTTTTTTTTTCTTTAGGCTGAAGTCAAAGTACTGTGTTCCAAACTTACTTGGGATACTAGCATAAAGACAGGCACGTAAACCAACAGAGTAGAATAAAGAGCCCAGAAATAAGCCCTCACATACAAGATCAAACTGATTTTCAACAAGACTGCAAAGACCATTCAGTGAAGAAAATGACAGTCTTTTCAGCAAATGGTGCTGGAAAAACTGGATATCCAAAATGTGGAAGCAACCCTAGTGTCCATCAGCTGATGAGTGGATAAAAAATTTGTGGTATGTATATACAACAAATGTATGTCAGCTTTAAAAAGGAGGGAAATGCCGACACCTGGTACATGATGACTGAAGCTTGAGGATATTACGCTAAGTGAAATAAGTCATTCACAAAAAGACAACTATTTATGATTCTGCTCATATGAGGTACCCAGAGTAGTCAAATTCATAGAGACAAAGTAGAATGCTAGTTGCCANGACTGTTGAAGGGCCATCTGGGCAGCAGGCCTGTCACCTCCTCTCTGTGGTTCAAGGTAGAGCTGCTAGCACATAGTAGGCACGTGTTCCTCAGTCCTTCTCTCCAAAGTATCTCCTGTTTCGTCACCCTGCTGTGTCGTCGTGCCTCCTTCCTATACAGAGATGTTTCGAAGGTACCTTAATAGTGACTCAGCCATACGATCGAAGTCCACACTTTTATATTTGAACATGGATTATTTGCCCCTGACTGATGAAGTTACTTATAAATGCTACCATTTTTCCATTTATAATAAATAACTTGTGAGGAGATACTTTAAGATTCTGTAAATTCCCTTTTCTTGTCAAACTCTCCCTCGGCCAATCAAGCACGCATAATAATTCTTGCCTAAATCTATTTTACTATGCTGGCTTTTAAGTGATGATTTTCTAATTTCTTCAATGCTACTATATTGATTAGTCATCATTCTACTGTATGGAAGAGCTTTCCCTTTCTTCACATTTATTTCTTAATTTATTATTTATTTATTATCAGTGTGAACTCAGGGATCCTTATTTTATTGAATCTGTTATTGTCATTACTTACCTTGATGATCAGATTTGGCCATTGAAAGCCCCTTCAATTTTTCATATCACTTCATCATTTTGGGGGTGGTGGGCACTTCTTTATTTTCTGGCATAATTAGACATTCCAGGATCATTTTTATTTTCCTTACCCCAGCCCTTAATAAGCCGTTTCCCCATGGACCTCTGATTCCTATTAGTGGGTAATGTAGAAACCAGGACCAAGCTCTAGGTTTGCTCACTGCTACTGAATGTCATTGCTTCTAGTTCTTTCAGTGGACAGAATATGCATATATATATAT